CGGCGTCATGGGATCGCCTCCTTGGCGAAGCCGCATCCAGGTTTTTCCCTAAGACCCCAGTGGCAATGCCAGATAGTCCGGAGACGAGCCTTGCCAGACGCATGTGGCGCTCGGCGCGTGGGAGCAATGCTCACCCCAGTGCGGAGCCATCGCCGGAGGATGAAGCCCGGCAGAGGCTGTGTGATCAGCATAAACAGGCGGTTAAGCAGGCTCGCAAGGACCAGACCAAACGGTTTCTTGCTGAGGTTGATCAGGCTCTGAGCCAGGGCGATCAGCACCTGGCATATCAGACTCTTAAGCACCTCCGGCCGTGGAAACCGGCTTTGAAAGCTCAGCTTAAGGACGCGCACGGCTTCCTGCTCAGTCCTGCAAACGAACTGGATGAACTGGGGAAGTATGCAACTAAGGTCTTTGCGGCGCACCCACAGCTCCCGTCTGATTCGGGACTCCTGCCCCTATTGCCACAGACCAAGTTAGCAAAACATATTGCCTCGATCAAGCCTAGCAAGGCAGTTCCGAAAGGAGCGGCACCGGCCGCAGCCTGGAAGCTCTGTGCTCAGCCGATCTCTGCGGCGCTTTCACAATACTGTTCAAGCCTGACGCAGGACCAGTCACTGGACGACGATCTGACTCGCGCAGATCTCTGCTTAATCCCAAAACCGGGCAAGCCGGCTGACAAGCCTTCACAACTCAGGCCGCTGGGCATTCTTCGCCCGGATGCTAAAGGACTGGCGGGCACGGCCAAGGAGCTCCTGGAGCCTTTCACGCTGCCATACATGAAGCCTCTACCCCAGTTTGCATACCTCCCTGGGAGAGGTCTTTCGGATGCACAGAGCAGAGTGGTTCAGCATTTAAGGGAAGCAAGGCAGCTCTGTCGCAATGCGAATCTCACCCGAGCGGATCAGCAGCGGGGACAATGTCCTGTAGGTCTCGTCGGCGGCATCACTTTCGCACTAGACCTGTCACAGGCATTCGACACTGTGTCCCGAAGTGAGATCTTGTCCCTGCTAGATGAGCTGGGCGCGGATCCCCCGCTTAAGAAACTCATACACGGCCTTCATCATCGATCTAAATACAGACTTCATTCTCAGGGGGCCTACAAGGACGTGGAAACTACCACTGGCATCAAACAAGGCTGCAAGTTGGCCCCCACGCTGTTTTCCGTGCTCACAGGCCGCCTCCTTCATAGACTGATAGACGCATTTGGCTGGGACAATGTCCGCAGATACTTTACAGGTTACGCGGACGACTTCACCATGCATCGCACCATCCGCAGCCAAGCAGACGTGGACGCTGCTCACAAGATGATCCTACAGCTTCTGTCGGAGGTGACGAAACTGGGATTACGCGTCAACCCGGCCAAATGTGCCATGCTAGTCAAGCTTAACGGCAGAGAGGCGGAAGCCGTGCTTCAGAAGCACACCTGCTGGCTGCCCGACTCGACGGGCACACTACAGCGGCATTGGCGACTGGGCAAGCACAGATCCTTCCCTGCATACAAACTTGAGGCGCAAATCAAGCACCTGGGCATCCAAATTTCCTATGGGAACTTTGAAATGCAGACGCTGCGATTCCGCATAGCGGAGGCTGCCAAAAAGCTCCAGCAGGTCAAGCGATTCGTCTACAATCGCCGCACCGCGGGGCCAATGGCCAGGCTAAAGGTCTGGTTCACCACCGTTTGGGCCACCTTGGTCACGGGACTCCCCGAAGTCGGCCTCACGGAGGAGACGGCCAGGCATCTTAGAGGCTGGTATGCACACAAGATACGCTCGGTCCTCAATCAGCCTGCACACGTCGGCCACACACCTACAGCTGACCTGTACCGACTATATTCAATCCAAGACCCGGTAGCCAAAATCCAAACAAGGATGGCTTCTAGACTCAAGCGGTTGTGCAAGAGAACAGCCCCCTCCGAAGCCACCACTACAGCCCTGCCTGCACACACTCCCAGTGAACCCTCAGCGACGCGGGGCCCATGGGCCAGGCTGAGTCCACCAGCGACGGGCCTAGCAACACACCAGCAGCCGTCTGAACCACATACATACGGTGACGTCACGCAACTGAGCCACGTCGTACAGGACCTACAGGACATGCTGAGAGAGGTGGAAAACCTCCCGGCGAGCACCGAGGCCTCACAGCAGCGGCTACACGCCTGCCCTCACTGCGAGTCGGGTTTTGTCTCTGCACATGGCTTACACATGCACGTCACGCGAATGCATCGCGAGCACGTGCAAAGGTACATTCCCCCCTCCTTTGATCGCAGTCGGCACTCCAAGGATGGTCTACCTGTATGTTCTGCATGCGACAAGGCTTTCCATCAATGGAAAGGCCTACGTGACCATCTCTTATCGGGGGCCTGCACGCAGCCGGAACGACTGCGTCAGATCTCTCTCACCACTGAGGAACAGATGCAGGGTCAGGCCCTCCAGGGCCTGGCGGCCTTTCGCGCCAAGGTGCAGAGTTCGCCCAGCAACAAACTCAGTGCCATTGCCACCCGGCCAGAGGCTCAGGAGCTTAAGCATCGGTGCATTTTGTGCGGTTTTTGGACCCCGGACCATACCAAGATGAAGAATCATCAACGACAGGCCCATGCACAAGCATGGCAGCGAGATGGTCCGGCAGCACTTCAGCTTTGCAAGGCCTATTCTGTGCAGATGATAAAGGGGCACCCCTGCCCCTTTTGCAGGCTGCCGGTCTATGACAAACGCAAACACCCTGAGCAATGCATTGTCCTGTTTCAGGTTCTGCTTGGGTGGCACAAGGTGCAAGGCACGGACAAGATGCGGGAACAATGTTCCAAGCCTCATCCCAAGACCGCGGTGACAATGTCACTTAGTGGCTTTTTTGGGGCTGCAGACAAGCCAGCTACCGCGGCTGCATCACCCACTGTTGCCATGGCAACGACGGGCGCCGTCGGCAGCACTCTCCCGCCAGGCCTGTATTCTCGTATGCGACACATGGTGAACTCGGGTAACACCTGCTATGTCAATGCGACCATTCAGGCCCTACTAGCCGCGCTAGACTCTGCGTCCAATGTAGCGGAACTGGGACCACTGGTCCAACACTGCATCAACCCGGAAGCGGATCCAATGGATACGAGGCACATAAACCCTCCAAGCCTATTCGCTCTCCGGTCCTTAGTGCCTAGATGGCGATTCGATGGCCGTCAACAAGACGCCTCCGAATTTGTCACATACATGCTAGAGCACAACACGGGGACTCTGCAACCCGCTCGCTGGGAAGGACGCACTAATGGAGTGCCGGAAAGTGAGGATGACGGCCTCACGCCGTTGCTGCTGCCCCTTTCCTCAGCCTGTCGTACACTGCAGCAGGCCTGCACGGCATGGTATGACCACACGTTCCAGCGCGCCCTGGCATGGGCCCCTGACATCCTGCCAGTCACAATCGCTCGATGGATGGACGGCACAAAACGACGCACCCCGCTGGACCTGCGCAGGCACCTCTCAATGCCGTCTTGGATTGAGGGTCAGGGCCGGCAATGGCATCAATATGCAGTCATTTCGGGAGTTTTTCACATAGGTGCTGACATACACTCCGGCCACTACCGGTCCTTCTGGATTCACCCAAATGGAGGCGCGCTGTATGTGGGGGATGATGCCACCCGCCCATACCCAGCCTCGGCCTCAGATCGCAAACATGTTATGGAAGACTGCTACCTCCTTTTCTTGAGAAGACAGGAGTGACTCTGACTCACCCTCAAGGGGTGAGTGCTGGCCCTCCAAACCTAGGAATGCGTGCACCAATAGGGTGCCTGTGCGTGGGAAGGCCGGACCCCACAATAGGTGGGCATGGCCCCCCCCACGTCAAGGCCAAGCATGCTTTAGGCATGCGCAGGCTTACCCGCAGCTTTTCAGGCTGACCCAGCATGGCTGACACGATCCACAGCCCGGACCACAAAAGTGGTCGAACCGCCTCTCCCCTGGCTCCAGATTCACTAATGGGAGAGCCATCTGAGCCGCTTGGGGTCGACACTCGACGCCAGACATCCGGAGGCGGCAAGCAGCGGCAAGGCAGCGCCCTGCATGCCCTCTCCAACGCTGCAACCAATGGTGCCACTGGCAGACTAAGCAGTAAGTCGCGGAGGCCATGCCTGTTCTCACTTGCGTCTCTTCCGAGACAGACTGATGGCCCTTCTGCCGGATGCCGCCGCTGTCAGTCGGAAATCATGCCCTAGCCTGCTGCCGGTCGCGCTACTGCTGCTCTGCTGACAGCATACACAACGCGAATTCCGTTTCAATGTTCAGGTACATACAACAATCTGGAGCTTGATACCCTGCAGCCTGCAAACTCGCTTTGGCTGATCACTGCCAGTTAGCTCAAAGCCTGTAGGCCGCAACCACTCAAAGGTCTTTTGACCTGGGCGGATCAGCTATAGGGTCTGAGTCAGTTTCACACCAAAGTGAGTGCACCGCGGCAATCGCCCGCTATGTGCAGAGCCCGCTCGCACAGCGTTCAATTGAAAAAAAAATAGTAGTAGTAGTAGTAGTAGTAGTAGTAGTAGTAGTAGTAGTAGTAGTAGTAGTAGTAGTAGTAGAAATAGTAGTATTAGCAGTAGTAGTAGTAGTAGTAGTAGTAGTAGTAGTAGTAGTAGCAGTCGATCGTAGTAGTAGTAGTAGTAGTAGTAGTAGTAGTAGTAGTAGTAGTAGTAGTAGTAGTAGTAGTAGTAGTAGTAGTAGTAGTGTAGTAGCAGTAGCAGTAGCAGTAGCAGTAGCAGTAGCAGTAGTAGTAGTAGTAGCAGCAGCAGCAGTAGTAGTAGTAGTAGTAGTAGTGGTAGTAGTAGCGGTAGCGGTAGAGGTAGTAGCAGCAGTAGCAGTAGCACTGCTGCCGCTGGCCAATCATCAACCCTGTCAACCTTTGTAGCACAGGTTTTGTTGGATTGAGGACCCGTGCATGTCCCTTGACACTGCAGAACTTGCCTGTGCCTCGATGCAAGGCTCACCCTACTCCTCGTAGCCCACCTCCGAATGGCCCTTGTTGGTTCAAGCTTGGGGATGACATTGACATACCCGGAGAAATCCCAATAGTGCCCAAAACCCGACCCTCCAAGCCACGGACGCAAAGCAGAGCCAGAGAGTTCCCTGAAAGATGTAGAAGCCGCCACGCCCGATGGTCTCGGACAGGAACTTGCACTTCCTTGACCAAGCGGTTTCTGGCATTGGGGATTCAGAAAGCTCGAAGCTTGCAGCGCGGGTTAGCTTCCAGGCAACGCTGGCCCTACAAGGATACGATGCCAATTGCCGCAGAGCAGCTCCATCAGCAGGTCCTTCACAAGGCTGCTGCAACTCACGGCTGCCATACCCTGAATCCCTGAGCCCTCAGGCTCCGAACTCCAGGCCAGAGCCTCTGTTCTGAAACCCCTGTCCTGGTAGCCACTCAGGCCGGACACTTTGGCGATGTACTCCGGTGGGGCTTCCTCGGTTCCACTCGACGGCTTGCATACGAATGCCAAGGTGGCAGCTGATTGAGCGACGGCAGCGAAATACTGACACTGTGACAACGACGACGACGACCATGACTCCTCCACCTCCTATTCCTACTCGTGCTCCTGCCCCTGCTGCGACCCTTCCTCTTCCTCCTGCTGCTGCCGCTACTGCTACTTATCACCACTGTGTACTGGTGCTTTCATACGACTACGACTACTACCACTACTTCTACTGCTGCTGCTGCCACTGCTGCTACTACTCCGACTACTCGAATAAGAATCAAGACTGTAATCATACTGCTACTACTTCTTCTTCTCCCCATACTACTGCTAGTACCACCCACTACAATCTAGTACGGCTGTCACTAGCAGCACCAACCGCCGCTGCACAGTTGGGAGGCTGTGGCTTCGAGTCTGAGAAGTGGCCTGAGGATTGGCGAGGGCAAGGGACTCACGGATCGCAAAGGCCGTCATTGTTCAGCCCAGTGGCAAACAGCATCGTCGTCACGCTGAAAAGCACCCTCGGTCCGATCCGTGCAAAGTAACCGAGAGAGAGACTGGCAAACCTTGACCGCAACCGCAACAACAGCAGCAGAAACCACCCCCACCACCACCGCAACAAAACACAAAAACCACCAGGTGGATTGACGACAACCACAGCCACAACGACCACGAAGACACAAATACTGCCAATAACGACAACAGCAACACAACGTACGTCGACGAAGACGACCGCGCGTTGACGACGGGAGCAGCAACAGCAACAACAAACGCAGCGCACTTCACAGTGCTCCACTTGAAACCCATTCTTCCTACCCCTGCTGCCTCCGTAGCCTTCTCTCCAGCTCATCCCTGCCTGACTTAATTTCAGCAGTCTCTTCCGTGAGTTGCTGCTTGAAGCAGGCGTCAACCCGGGGGTGTGGAGCATTGTGGAGCTTTGGCAGAGGGGGCATCATAAGCTTCTCGAAGCTGTCCACGCCATCGTCCCACACCCCAACACACCAAACCAAGACTGAAATCCCCACACTACTACCGTGGCTGCTTCTTCTTGCAGCTCCGAGCAGCTGATACAGCGACAGGACATACTTGACAGGCTCGCTCGTGATCTGAGGCGCTGACAGCTCCGGCCCCCGGAAGATGTCATCCGAAAGTGCCCACAAGCCCTAAAGCACTAATCCCAGGTTTAGGGTTTTAGTCAAGCCCTTTGCATGTCGGTTGTTTTCGGGCTTGGACTGAGCATGTGTCTACGGTGATCTCCGGGAATGCTACCGTGCCTGTCTCCTGTAGCTGACACTCTCCCCTCGCAAAAAGTCTGAAAGTGCGCTGCCATCTCAGTTGTGGAATCGGCCTGGGACCGTGCTGACAAGCGGCACGACTGATGCTAATCAGCTTCAGGATGCCGTTTGCCAGGGAGAAGCAACCTGAGCCAGCGGAGTCGTTCATGACAAGCAAGGGCTGTTGGCTGTTGATATCCAGAAGGAGTTTGTCCAAGATTACACGACCATGAGAGTGTCTCAATTCTTGAAGCTGCGCGGCCGTGCCTGTGCGTGGTCGACAGCTCCCAAACCCGAAACCCAACCCTTCCAGAAACCCCAGCCGGGCCCTGCAGACGAGGGGCTCGCCAAGAAGCAAAGGAATCGCACCCCAGCCGGGCCCTGCTCGATCTGAGCAACTAAGGCACCGCCGGCCTCCAAGGATGCTTTTAAGGCTCAAGACCAGGCCACCGAATGATTGAATGAGGCTGAGAGTTTGAGTTTAGGGTTTAGGAGCGAAGAGCTTCGAACAAGGCTGAGAGTTTGTAGAGCTTTGGATGGGAAGGTGTGGGTTCCGGGCCCTCTCCCTGTTTTGTTGGGATAGTGTAAGGGCAAGCCCAGGCCCCAGGCTTGGTGCACTGTGGCCTCTGTCACTTCAGGAATTCAAGGAACCTCGCGACTTCCCTTGGAGAAGCTTGGCTCGAGATCTTGAGCACAGCTTCACAATCAGATATCCGCAGGCCTGCATCACATACGCTCCGGCCATAGATGCATACCTTGGAGTAGACCCCGCGTCGGGGGGTTTCTAGGTCCTAGGTCGGGAATCGCCGGGAGCTTCCAATCAACAGAACAGGGTCTGTGCGATCCTCCTCACGGGAGAAAAATCTAGCTCGTATCTCCAGGACTGAGGGTTTAAGGGGTGCTGTGATACGAAGTTAAGCGAGGATGCTTCTTCGCGGCCGCCTGAACCTGCCCGGGCCGGCGTTTCAGTCGCACCGAATGTTTCTGAAGACTCGAGATCAAGGGCGACGGGTCGTCAAACGATCCCAAAGGCAAGCGAGCGCAGTCAAAGCTTCTGCCTCCGGGTCGTTGCAGAACTCTTTGATCTTCCTTGGATGTCGAAGGCACACTGAGAGCGAAGAGACGACCAAATGACCCGAACCTAACTTCAAACACGAAAGCTTCAGGACCTGACCGAAGCTGTCCCCACACTTCGCGCCGAGCCACGCCTGTGCTTGAGACGCATATTCCGGAAACTTCTCTTTGCAGGTGTCCATGATCATCTTCTGCACCTTCCATCGCTCCCGCATTCAAGCTCGTAAAGACTACATCCGGAGCGACGTTGGGCCTCCGGGTCTTGCAGCGCTGCCATGGCGTCCTTGCCCGTCTTTGCCGCCTGCTCTTGCAAGGCTTTCTGGACCTTCGGGTCATTCATCCTCGCAGGGACAGGGAAGTCTCGGCTCTGCCTGATATCGTCGATCTAGATCCCCTGAGGCGCTGCCATGAAGCTTAATCCATAAGCCAAGTGGCAACTGCTTCTTGACGTCATCGGGGATATCTGCCGGCATGGTCCTTTGCAGCTTTGCTTCGGTCTCTCTCTCTCTCTCTCTCTCTCTCTCTCTCTCTCTCTCTCTCTCTCTCTCACACCATGACCTTTTCAAGCATCCTCTGCGCTCAAGCTTAATCGGCTCATCTACCTGGAATCTATCGCCACTCCGACAGAACAAGAGCGAGGAACGAGCCATGACAGCAAGAGCTATGCAGCTATGTGTTCCATACAGCCCTCCCGTCCTTCTTTAGATGGATTGGCAGTCACCACAGCACAACGTCAGTGTCAGCTTGAGCCCAAATGGCCAGTCATGCAATAAGCACGGCGAGCTGGCACAGCAAATGTGTCTGCGTCTGCATGTGAGTGCTCGCGAGCCCGTGTGTGCACACTTGGAACTTGCGGCACCTGCGGTACAGAGAGCTGTCAGATTGAGCAGTGGGTATTTGGAGGACAAGTGCTTGACCGGCTTGCGGACCAGCCTGCACCTACAAATAACTTTGCGATCTTCATCCTTTGCGCTACATACTTGTGCGTAGGTCTATTGAAGTTGACGACAGTTTACACGACTGGAACGGTGGGATCTGTAGCCTGCACCTGGTCTGCGAACTACAGCATAGGAGGCCAGTATTAATCCCAACTGCAACCCAGCGTTGCCGGTGTGCTCCTGCGAAGCTTGTGGGCTGCCGCGACCCAACACCTGAGGCTTGGGCCTGGCTCACACTTGGCAAAGGCATTTCCGTGGAGCGATATGGAGCGATCACAGCAGGACGCTCTTCAGCTGGTGCGGTTGAATATTCATCAACAGCGAAGTGCAAGTCTTGAATTACATCAGCAGTGGCCTTTCCGTGGGGCTATCAGCGATTTTGGTGCTCGTAGTCTTTCGCCTGAGATCTCCAAGGACGAGTGGGATTCTGCTCTTGCTTTGGCTGTACCATCCGGCCTTGAAGCCAGTTAACCTGTGATTCAGCTGCATCCACATGAGTTGAGAATCTTAGCCCCACACGCACGAGAGGTGCTTGTCGGAGGCTTTTTGGCCTGAGCGCAGCTGTGCACCCCAAAAAGCACAGCCGGTCAACTGCCTCGTCTCCTCATGGACAAAAATCGTTACCATGCCCTCTGCACGTCCCATGTCACCCTTGCTACTTCTCTGCCATGCTGACCGGCTGACCTTGCCGACTGGAACACCGCCTCCTGCCGCATCGGAGGCTGCCTGCGGCCGCAGCTTGCGGACGACTGCATGTGTAAAGGCGACAGAGGTGAGGAGAGCGAGAGCTGGCACCCCTTGCCGTCAACCTCCCCACAACTAAGACGTCTAAATCACCGAGGCGACAGCCACGCTCCACGACAGAAGCTAACAGCTAACATCATTCAACTTGATGGCCTTCAATTCCGTCACCCGCCGTCCAGGCTGGGATCGCCCGCGTGGCTTGGCCTCCTGTCGGCTGTGCTTGGTGCAGCAAACCAAAGTGCTTTGGGCACGGTCTCTCGGTCTCTTGTGCTGCAGGGCTGGACCCAGGTCATGCAGGCTGAAAGGCCACAGGTGCAAAGTTGGAGGTATCCGGCTGGAAACTTCCAACTTGGACCCGTGTTCCCTGTTCCCGACGAGATCCCGTCCTGCGCCTGCCCTTGGCGCAAAGTTTTCCTTGCTGGAGGCTCCTCCTGCACGGGCAAGAGTGCATCATCACATCGAAGGGCTCTGGGTCAGACTTTCTGCGACATCACAACCATGACAACATCAACAACGGAGTGCTTTTGCCCAAGGCAGTCGAACAACAAATCGCAGTTGTTCTAGCTCCCTGCGAGATCACGGCTGCTTTATTCTTCTGCCCAGTTTAGGGACATTTCGACATCGACCAGAAGAAGCCACGACGATCAAGGCCAAGGCAACCGGCCCACCTCCGCCTCTGGCTTTGGGGCAACAGCGGGCGGCCGGCCGGTCGTCGGCCGCGACGCGCCTTTCCTTTGCTGCACCTCCTGACAAATCCAAGCGGCTTGAGCTCTAGTTTCCCGTGATTGCCTGCATGTTGTCAGAACCTCACATGGGCCGTCAGCTTACGAGAGAGTGTTTTCTTCCTGAAGGCTGCCGGCTGTGCTGCCCATTTTCAGGAGACCTTTGCAAAAGATTGCGGCATTCGGCCTGCAACAACAGACTTGGACTCCAGCAATCTGCAATTCCAAGCCATGTACGTGATCCAAAACCCCTGGAAACCTCTCTTTGCCCCTGAAACGCGGGGCGACCAAGACCTCGTCGTCGGAGAAGAGACGAGAAAGGCTTCTTGCCACGGCCTGCTTTTAGACGGCATCTGGGCGCCGGTGAGGGTTTAGAGCTGAGGGCATGAATTGTCGCCCCTGCCCTTGCTACAGGACCGGCTTCGAGCTTGCAAACACTGCAGTAGATGCTTGAAGACGCTGTGCTGCGACAGAAACAATCTGAACCCGGAAAGTCGAAGCTCGTGGCTTCGCGAGTTATCCTCTTCTCGTTGCCAGTGTCGTTTCCTGCCATGGTGATGATGATGATGATAATGATGGCCTGCTTTCCGTACCTGCAGTACTAGTTAGAGCCTGTGTGGCTTCCCCTGAACCCTTGACTGCCTTGTGCCGCTGCTCCGTTCTTGTCAGGGATGGGCTCGGGGGTGACGTCGGCGGGGCGTTCGGAGACTCCGCCGGAAACAGAGATTGCAAATAGAGCGCCGGATCCGTCCTTGCAGCGCAGCCGAGTGGCTTCTGAAGGAAACTGTCGGGACACTCGAAAGACCGAGGCGGCGACGTCTCGGGAGTCCTCGGGCTGCGCTCGCCGTCGGTCCTGGGGTCTCAGGGACCACGAAAAGCATCACATGGGGACTCTTACAACAAGGCGCGCGGTCCTCTTCCGGCTTCCCGAGCGCTCTTTGTGGGCTCCTGTCCATCTTCAGGTCTTGGCAGATGGCAGCTGTTGTGCAACTGCTTCAAGAAACTTCAACCTGAACAGCACGCGAATCTGCTTGAGGCCACCTCTTGGGGTCATGGAGCCGCTCTCGACTGCCTGTCACAGGACCGGATGCAGTCGAGTTCAAAGCTCTAACTCCGCGGAAAGTCATGCACCCCATCAATGCCACCATACGCCGCACAACGGTCGAGGAAGTACAAACAGATCCTGAAACAAATCCACCTGCAATCGATGTTGCCAGCATAGCAAGCCCTGCAATCAACTGGCCAGCAACCACCGATGAACATCCCTCAACCTCGCAGACTGCAAATGGCTCTTTCCTCGCAGCAGATCTCAAATCTGCAGAAGAAGCTGCCTCAAGCCTACCCTGGCCTTGGTAGTGCCACGAACTATCGTCCCTGTGAGGGTGGCGAGGATGACCGCCAGGATGTTGTGAAGATGATGTGGATAATCATAACTCGCATGATGGAGCAGCTATAACAACGATGATGATGGTGGTGGTGATGATCGCGATGAGCATGGTAATGTTGACGATGATGATGAGGAGGATGCTGGTAGTACTCGTCGTCTTCTAGTAGCATATCACCTAGTAGTGGTCGTCGTCGTTGTTGCTTCTGCTTCTGTTCCATTTGCTGTCATTCTGATGGCCACTATTCTGGTATCCCTGCCGGCCTGGCGAGTCTGGGAGGGTGAGCGGGAGCTTGGCAGAAGTGGGTTCGGCCGTGAGGGCGAGCGGGAGCCTGCCAGGGGCTGAAGGAGCCATTTGGTGTTTGCAGCGTGAACTAGAATATCGGAATGTTTGGACCCACGTTGCAGCAGACACAGGCACCGGAAAGGAGAAGGTTCGAGTCTCCAAGGCTGCTTGCTTCGTGCCCTTCACTCAAGAGTCCTATCGACGGCTCCACGCCTGTGCTCCACGGTGATGCGCGCACATCGTCCGGGGACTCAGGCCAGAGCAACATGAGGCTGGCAACAACACTCAGAAGGAAACCAAACGCAACAAAGAATACGTTGAGGAGTCTGATCATTCATAAAGCTGGCATGATGGTGGCGGTGGCGGCGAGATAAGTAACAGGAATGTACATAGAAGTGAGGGGTGTGGCACGTAGCACAGACAGTATAGCTGTAGCAGTAGAAGCAGTAGTAGTAGGAGGAGGAGTAGGAGGAGGAGGAGTCGTACCAGTAGCGGCAGCATTTGCAGTAGTAGAAGTGCAGCAGTCGTCGTAGTATAATAGTGGCAGCGGTAGTACTAGCATAGTGGAAGCGGCAGCAGCATTAGCAGTAAGCAGTGCAGCAGCAAGCTTGAGGGTATCTGCACAAACAGAAGGCTCAACTGCTGCCAATCCTTCCTACATTCTATGCCAACATTGACCTGCATGATGCGACATGGCACAGGTTACGTGCATCTCTCTGCTGAACGTGTCACGTAAGTGGCCGTTGTCGTAGGAGTCGCAGGTTGCTGTGACACCTCGGCTGGAGCTGCCCGGAGCACGAAGCCGGCACTCCATGCTTGCAAGGGAACATCATACGGCCCAGAGACATCTGAATGAGGAGGCACGCTGCAGGTTGGGAGTCCGCACAACTTGATTCCCGCCGGCGACGGAATCCTGGCTGTCGAGCCGCGTTTTCCTGCACAGGGCACAGTGACTGCTTCTACCCTCCAATATCAGTACCACTACTCCTACTCCTACTGCTGCTGCTGCTTCTGCTCCTGTTGCTGCTACTGCTACTCCGAATCCTACTCCTACTCCTGCTACTGCTGCTACTACTACTACTACTACCACCACTCCTCCTGCTTCTGCTGCTCCTTCTACTACTAGTACTAGTACTATTGTTCTAGTACTAATATGCTTGTGCTAATACGACTAGCACGACTGCTAGGCCACTACGACTACTACAACTAGGACCGTCACCACGACCACGGCTACGACGACGACTACTGACTATTGATGCTGCTCGTGGTACTACAAATCACTACTCCTGCTCGGACTCGTGCTGCTCCCGCTCCTGTCCTGCTGTTCCTGCTTAGCTGGCTTAGCTCAGACCGCAATGACCCCAAGGTTGCCGAGGGCCTTGTCGGCGTCTTCCCGCGGGCCAGGAGCGGATTGGGTCGGCTCGGGGCCTCCGCGGGTGGCCTCAAGCGAAGGATCATGGCCATGGAGTAGAAGGCTAGCTCATACGGCTGTGCAAGGCAACTCTCCTCGCCTCTCGGGAGTTTTCGAAGCCACTTTGTTTTGAGGTGGTCGCCTGCACTTCAATGCCCGAAAAAAGCAGAAAAGTGGGGTAGGACCGTGCATGAAGCACGGCGATCCCACGCGGTGCAGGGATGCAGGAGCACTGGGCGGTGTATAAATACAACCTCCTCTGCATCTATGAGTCTCCGGGATGGAGGGTGTCACAGCAAGCCAAGCCGCTTCAGCTTCACAGAGCACATCGCTGCCAAGACCCCTGCATGTGCCCTAAGTCACAAATCCTTGAACCCGAACCCTGCAGCCCTTGGCCCCAAATACTGTGGCCCCTCGGTCGCACCTCACCACAGCCGGCGGGGCCTTCGACTCCTCCTTTACAAATACGCGAGAAGCAGGTCAATTCCAATTCGGGGGGCAACCTCAGGAGTCGAAGGATTTTGCCTGTTCGGCCCTGGAGGCATCTGCAATTCCGGACCGTGGGCTTCCAGTTCAGCTAGCTGTGACGGAATCTATCCTACCAAACTCCAGAAACTACCAAGGCCAGAAAACGGCTACGGCGAATCGCCGCCACGACCACGACCACCACGCTGATGATGACGCCGCAAATGGAAAGGAAGGATATCATGATCATATGATGATGTTGATGATGAGGGTGATGGTGGTGCTGCTGCTAATGATGATGACGACGATGCTCAGGAACTGCCGTCATGTTTGCTGATGTTGCTGTCGTTATCGTAGCTGTTGCTGTAGCAGGTGCTGCTGCGGTGGCTGTTCACCGTTGCTGTCCGCCGAAGCTCTTGCTGTTGCGCTATGTACTACGATGGCCACCACTATCATCGCCGAACATCTGATATTTCGCCCTCCTTCTCCTCATCGTCCTCACATCATCAACATCATCACCATTATCATCATCTTGCACGTTTACACTGTCAGCAACACCACTTCTAACGACTGCCGATTAATGTTGTGAAAGCTTAAGAAGCTATCTGGTCGGCAGACTCACAGCCGATCCTCAGAGTCAGATGCCCAGGGGTCGTAGGGCGCGGAAGATGGAGCGCTGCCCCTGGCGATGACAAGAATCAGTATTACCTGCAAAGGTAACAGAGATCGTCATCACGAGCACAAGCACAAGCTAAAGCAAAATCAGGAGGACTGGAAGCACCTTGCACTACGGGTAGTAGCAGTGGTAGCGGTAGTGGTAGCGATAGTGGTATTGGTCGCGGTAGCACAAGAGGTTGAGCAGTGGCAGTAACAGCGGCAGCGGCAGTCATAGTGGCAGCAGCAGACAGGAGGAGAAGCAGGAGCAGGAATAGGCGTGGGCGTAGGAGATCGTAGGCGTAGGAGTAGGGATAGAAGAAAAAGTCGCAGTAGTAGTAGTAGTAGTAGTAGTAGTAGTAGTAGTAGTAGTAGTAGTAGTAGTAGTAGTAGGAGTAGGAGTAGGAGTAGGAGTAGGAGTAGGAGTAGGAGTAGTGGTAGTAGTAGTAGTAGTAGTAGTAGTAGGAGTAGTAGTAGTAGTAGTAGTAGTAGTAGTAGTAGCAGTAGCAGTAGCAGTAGTAGTAGTAGTAGTAGCAGTAGCAGTAGGAGTAGGAGTAGGAGTAGGAGTAGTAGTAGGAGTAGCAGTAGCAGCAGCAAGAGTGGTGGTAGTCGGGTTCGTCGTAGCAGCGTGGTAGAGGTAGTCGTAGCAGCAGTAGCAGTAGTAGTAGCAGCAGCAACAGCAGCAGCAGTAGCGGCTCTGTGCAGATGCTGGGCACTGCACATTTGAGTCATAAGGTTTGCATGAAGAGCGAGGGTTTGCCAAAACACACCACGAGCCACTGCCTCTTCGTAAGCTGCTTGCGTGCAGGAGCCTCACACAAAAGTGACATTTGAAGCCACAGCGGGCGAAGCAGGAACCACCGCCCTGCAGGCACGGACTGCGAACAGAGCAGTGATTGAGCAGCACTGCTGAAAAGATGCAGCAGCATGTCGCGCCGAGCTTGCCGGCCAAACGCCAGCACTTCGAACCGAGAATGCATACGCATGCAGACAACGCTGCGAGTGCCCCACGGAGTGCGGCTCAGCTTCTGGCAGCCCGCTCCCGCTCTGCAGTCCGCTCGCCCGTCGTGTTGGCACGTTTGAGCCGGGCGGGAGCACCTGGTTGAGGGCTGCCCGAGTGCGCATTCAGGGTGGGTTCGGCTTCGGGTAAACGGCCATGCAGGCGTGCAGCTAGCTGGACTGAAGAAACAGCAACACATACAGAGAAACAGATAGGTAGACTGGAGGGTACAGAAGCAGATACACAGAGTGACTGAGAGACTAAGAGGTTTAGAACTTGAGAGCCGGGGAGATCTTGACGGATAGGAAGCTCAACCAACACACACTATCTCTTTCTTTCTGTTTTCTTTCTGCTGGGCTTAGGGGTCCCGAAAGACCCGCAGGCTTTCAGCTCGCCCAACCCCCCCACTGTGTTAGTGAGTGGTTGGCATTGGGGCCAATCCAGATTACGGCAGGGAACTACAAAGTATGCTCCAGGTTTTCGTGCAGCAATCCCCCTTAGAACTCTAAACCCCCCGCGTCCCGGCCTCATCACCGCGCCCCTAAGGCTAGCCGTACCAGTACCTGAGTCCTTCTAAGCAGGGTTTGCCGCAAGGTTGTGGAGCATAAAAAGCCGGATTAATTGATCCCCCCTTACTCTCTCGCAGCAAGGGTGGATGGCGAATTAATGGTATGAGGACGGAACAGACTTCGTCAGGCGACGGTGTGCAATGAATTGCAAGAGGGCGGACTGGATTCGCCAAGTAGTGGCGGGGCTCAAAAAGTCGTAATAGACATATATGTTACAGATGGCATGCGTTCGTGCACTCCCCCGGCTGGGTTCGAAACGTGGCTGCTGCATCGAGCTGCCTGGTAGGCTTTACATCCCCCTGGAGAGGGTTCAAAGGAGAAACGCGGGAACTAAGGAAGGAGCGGGGCAGCAAGACCGCAAAGCAAACACAGAATTCCCCCCTTAGTTCCCTGTCCCTCGCGCACTGAACTTTTTATACATCCGGGTGCTCACTGCTCTCACGGCTGTTCTTCATATGTTCTTGTACTTGACGGATCTGCCATCGTATGTTCGGCTGGAGGTGTACACGTTCCCCTCCATGTCGTCGTGGACTGCGGCTGGGAGTGCGTGGCCTCTCTTGTCCCAAGCGCCTTCCCCCCATTGTGGCTTCTCCCCGTCGTTTTGGGCTGCGGCTGGGAGTGCGCGGTCTCTCTTGTCCCAATCGCCTTGCCCCCACGTTCATAGTGTTCCCAGTGGCTGTCGCAGCGGTACTCGAACTTGGCTCCTCTCCCCCGTCATGAGCCGTTGCAGTGTCGTCACCATGTTCGTCTCCCCCGGCTGGGTGGTGTGGTTGTGGGCTAGTGGTGCCCGAGTCGGTGCTTCCCCAGTCGACTTCGTCTTCTTCGTGCACTGTTGTCACGGCGGCCTCGGCGGCGGGTCCTCCCCCTCGGCCTTCTGCTGGACTCCGTTGCTTTGGCACCTTCTTGGCTTTCCTCTGTCTCCGAAGCTTCTTTCGGATCTGGCGCGCTTTTGTGAGTAGCGCCCCGGCCTTCTGCGGGAAACGTATGAGGTGCGCCCGCGTCTCGTTGGCGAGGTCGGGCAGATACTTGTCCACTATTTTCGTGACTCTGTCCGCTGCTGTGGCAAGTTTGCACCGTGCCTTGAAAACGTCTCGGTACTTTTCGTACTCCCCCGCTTCCTTGTGGTTGAGCGGCGCGTCGGTCTCGGCGTCCATCCACACCCCGCCGTCGTCATAGATTTCTCGTTTCCCCCATTTGTCGAGAGGTCCAGGTAGAAAGTGAAGTCCCAATCCCCCTCGGGTGGTAAACCTGGTCATATGTGAGAAGGGGACCTGTGGAGGTCTTGTCCCCCCCTCTTCGTGTTGTGGAGGTTCGCGTCCTTGTGTCACGGGTCGGCTCCCCGATCCCCTCTCGCTGTAGCCGTGGAACCGACAGGCTGGATCGGAGCGTTCGTGTACCTTCCGAAATCCCTGCTGGCAGATTCCAGAGCCTTGCCGACAAAGGCGACACTGCCTTTTTCCCTTCTGCTGTTGTCTCTTCCCCCTGGTGTCCATTGCCCCGCTGCACCACGGTAGTTTTTCTTCACGGTGTTCCGGAAAGTCACTCTCCCCCGCCCAGCGTGCTGGTTCAGTAAGCGAAGCGTCCCCAGCGAGTTCGGAAAGAGGATGGTGCAGAAGGTTGTGTCCCCCTCGGTTTGCGAGCTGAGGTAGAGGTCCTTGCTGTCACTAGGTCACCGGGCAGCAAATAGCTCACGTTCGTGCCGGTCACCTTTATTGCGCGGTCCTCCACGGAGGCTACCGGGGCCTCTTAAGTCCAATGGCGACGGACGATTGGTCTCAAGCACCGCTGGAACAACTGGGAAGGCTCCCTCGGAGGAACAGTCCGAGTTAACCCCCCAGCTGCCCCCCGATGCAAGGAGGTGACACACACCCCCAAGCAAAGGTGCAGTACTTGAGCCAAAATGGACACACTATCTCTCTCTCTCTCTCTCTGTCCAAAGTGCGCTTCCTCTTAGGATCCCTCCTCAAGTAGATGGGGGTTCTCTAGATCCGCCCTGGCTCATGATGTCATGTTGGCCGCGAGCACCACGTGAAGCCTATCCTCACTGCGGAAGCTCACAGCCAAAGATCAAGGCAACTACAATGAGCCCAATGTCGAGTACCTGAAAAATGCGTTGAAATGATTAGACCCTATACCAAGGAATGGAAGGAATACCAATTTGGAGTACCATCCACCTTCGGCTCTTAAAGGGCAGAATTCAATCGGAACATGCCATACTCCCCCAGCCCCCCTGTCCTTCAAGCATGAAAACAGGGCTCAGGAAGTGTGAATTGATACCGCTTTGGCCTCTCTCGCGCTCCGCCCGCATAGCTGCCCACGCACGTGAGCCAATAGAGTTGGCAAAAACCTGCACATGCACAGAGCTCGCGAGTGCGATTTTTGGGGCGTTTTGCTGACGCGTTCCTACAGCTGAAGTGCCTAAGGGGTCGCGCGAGCCCGGGTACTCTACTGGCATGACTCACCTGCAACAACGACTCCTTCAGAGAATCATACTCGACCAACATGACCCAGTGCTTGCGTTTTTCGCTGTGCGAACTTCATGGCTCCAAGCACTGGGGATGTCTCACAATTCGTGGAAAAGCTCAGGCTTGAAATCTGCTGGGGCTCGGGAGGTCCAGGAAGCCACAGTTCGGAGGTTCCGGCAAAGATCGTCGAAATTCGTCAAAATTCATGTCAAGCGCTCTTGGGGCCCAGATCACGAACCCCATTGCCCTGAACCGCCACATGTGTAGTTGGGGTTGTGCTGCTTTTCAACTGTTTCCTGTGATCCCCTACATTGTCCCTCAAATTGCTTCACAGGCCGTTTTCAGGGTTGCGCCTCGCCTCGAACTACTTGGCCCAGCCACTGGTCAGAGCCTCAGTTGCATCGCCCCCCATAAACTGGCGGCAATGCTGCACGCCCGTAGACCCCTTGAGCGCCGAGCATTGCTCCAGGGCCGTGGCCCGAGCGGGCCCCGAAGGGCACTCGATGAGCCAAACAGCGCACGGAGCCAGAGATGAACAGAAGAGCGTCTAAAGCCGGCTTGAAGAAGGGGTTGGGGGCTATGGAGACGGTACGATCGCGCCCAATCTGTGTCTCTGACTCCCGAATGCACACGACCTCTTGACAAAAAACTGAAAACAACAGCGGGTTCCAGTAGCACATCAAGCGCCCTGCGGCGTCGCTTCAGTCTTTGGCTTTCGTGCCTGCCACGCTCCAGGGGAAGCTGGGAAGGGCCGGAGACAGCTTCGAAGGAAAGATGAGGGAGGTCCAAAGTCCAGAAGAACGGAGTGCTCCAAAGGAGCACCTCGATGAGGGCAAGAAGACCAAACCCGCCCTGTTAAACCTGCTAAACGAAAGACCACGAGGGCCTGATAGCAACAGCATCCCCAGGCCTTCCAGACCCGCGGCTGCGGCTGTGAGAACTCCTTGGACTCCTTGGCCTGGCAGTCGAAAAGAGAGGCTACTTGTAGATTCGAGATCTTTCGGCCATGTATCATGTAACTGTCAAGGAAGTCTTGTCAACACATGTCTTATGCAATCCGCGACCCGACCGGCCATTGTTAGGCAGAAGCACCACTGTGTTCAACATGCGATTGGGGATGAGAACAGCGAGCGCCCAAATCCGTCAGCAACGCTGGGCTATTGCGATCACCGAAACTTTTCTTTCAGCCAAGATGTGCTGAACTCTTGTTCTGTTGTACTGATTTACCTGAATCAACATCTTTCTTGCAGAATGTTCATCACATCTGGGATGGAGGCGTCCTGGCGGTTTAGTTTGGGCAGCAAACGGGTCCCAAGATGCACCAGGACTCACCATGCGTACCACCCCCGGTTTAGGCCCTCGATTTCTTAACGCCTTCGGGCTCAAGGTGCAAGTATCAACACCCCTCCGTGTCCTCCCTAGCTCAAGGGACCGTGGAGATTTAGCCATCATGCCGACCATGGGTGGTCAATGACATGCATCTGCACCTGACAACCCAAGCCTTGACACGCAGCGGCTGCCGACATCCGGGGTTTTGCAGAAGGGAGTTGAAACAGGTCAATAAGAGCCCACACCTCTGCATTCGTCTTCGGAGCACGGCCTGACGAGTTTCAGCAGCAGCTCGTCCAACGCAGGAAGCAGGCGGCTGAAATCTATGCAGGCATTTGCTGTAGATTTTTTTGGCCGCTGTCAGAAACAGGGAACTGTGTCGAATGGCTGCTACTCCATCGACAGTGTCGGTGCCAACGACTGTCTTCGTTCACTGGACCTGGTTGTCTACATCCGACATCTGGAGACCGGGCACGATTCTGACAGGAGAAGCTCACTCAACGATGACGTAGATCACCTACTCCGTTGTCGTTCTTGTACGCTTGTACTCCATCTGCGCTGCAGCCGCAGCCGAAGCTCTTCCCTCCGCAGCGGTCTTGCTACGGCGGAACTGTCGAGCATCGCGGACATCCTGAGCGGTGCGAGAGATCCGAAGTGCTAGGCCTCGCAGTCTTTAGCACTGCATGAGCTGACTGTGCTGACATACGTTGAGTCCTCGTCGTCATAGCCGCCAAACCCACATGGGTCTAGACGCTGGCGCATGGAAGTGACTGCACGGGTGAGGAGGTCATTTTTCCTTGGGAGCCGAATGAAAAACTCGGAGCCGACACTACCCAGACCCATAAATGGAACCCAAAACGCCTTGAGAACAAGCTGAGAATAACACAGCGAGTGCTCTTAAAACTGACCACCATGCTAAAGCCAAGAGGTTGCACCGCCACCACCATCCATCCATCCCCACTGTACACAGGATAAACAACACTCGAAACACCAGGAGCAGCAGTGACAGTGACAATTGCTGCAACAAGCAAGGGTACAACAAGACTAAGTGCACGAGCATCACTGCATTGGACGGAGTGTGATGATGATGATGATGGCGATGATGAGGAGGAGGATGCAGACGACAACGGCAATGACGATAATCGCGATGCGGAAAAAACATAACTCCTGGAGCTTCTTTCCGAGCGGCGGCGCTGGCGGAGGCGGTGGGGGCAGCTGTGGCCTGGAGATGCAGCTCGGTAGTATTCATTAACTGTAGACTGCATTATACCTGTATCTTTTAACATGTACATCTTGTATCATATTATACCACATTGTGCTATGTTAAGGGTTCTGTGGCCGAGTCTAGGGCTTGGGAGCGGATCGGGCTCAGTGTGAGTCGTTCTGGGCTGTAGGCGTGCCCCGTCCAAAGGCAGGAGATTTTGCAGGCTTCGTGCTCTGGCAAAATGATGAATGCTCTACACCTGTGGGGTGGGTTCGTTGTGCAAGCCTCGGGTGGTGACAAGTCTTGCCGGCTTGCTGAGATTTCGTCGACTCCGAAACATCGGGGGTTCTTAAACGTCGGAGTGCCATAATCATTGAGGGATTCTCATGATGAGGACCCTAATTTTTGAGCCAGTCCGAAGCCCCAAAAAGTCTCATTTAAGTCTGGTCGCTGCTTGTAGTGGCCATACACGGCCGGAGGACCGCCTGGCAGCCGAGGTTCAAACATCTGCCGCACATAAGACTTGGAATAACCTTAATCCCTTATCGTACCATACAGTATTATACAATACTATACTGACTATACTATACTATACTGGCTATTATATTTGTTTTTGGGGCGCACATTGAGGTGTAACTTATATAATGACCCGAAACTACCTACTTAGGGGCCCCCTCCCTCGAAACCATGGCGGCCGAGCTGCCCATGGTACCCTTAGAAGGCACCTCGCTGAACTGGAGCTGCTCCCATCGGAACCTCCCAAACAGACGGCTGCTTGTCGGCCAGACAGCTTAGCGCTGAGGACAGATATGAATAGCACCCGGTTCAAAGCTGCGCCCGCCTGTTAAGGAAGGTGTAGTAGGAGAACCCCATGAAGACTGCCTCGGCAATTCTCATTGCGAATCTGGACATTAGGAGTTGCTGTAGTTCAGTCAGGTCTAGAACCTCTGTGACACTCGACATCATCATCCCCAAACTAGACTTGCCCGAGACGGAGGAAGCTCCCCACTTCCCTTAAAAGCAAATCCAGGACGACGTGCTCCGCAGCACCTGACCTCTCCATCCTGAACTGGAAGGGAATCGGAGACCCACCAATCACTGTCAGGGAACGCTGGAGGCGCAGATCATGCCCGGCCAAGGGGTCGGAGCCCTTTGCAAAAGCACTGCTGTCATCAGCGCGATGTACCTTACAGCAAGATGCTGCAAAGAGTTGCTACGAGTAGGGCGCTTTCAATAGTCCCGGCTGCAGGAAGGTGCCCTGCTGTGCATGATTCAGTTGCCGCTGCCTCGCATCGGGAGGCTTCTGACACTCTGACAAGAGACTCATCCGGAAGCGATGCTCGGGCCGTGACCAGAATAGACCTCCCAGGTCCGGCTTCAAGGTCTCTGCATAGACGAACCTCATGCAAAACAAAAAAAGAAACCTCGACCGGGGCTGGCTGGGCCATGGCGCTGCCCAAGGCACAGGTAGGTGTAGACCACGCGCGCTACTCCAAAGGCGACCGCCCCCAACAAAGTGATCAGCGGGCAGAGTGTGCCTCACTTTCTGGTGCAAAGGGTTGAGGCTGCTTCGGCTGCAAGCCGTCTCATCCAATGGCTATGGATCAAGGTTCTCCCCGTGCCAAGCTGCACAGAGCCCAACATAACAGTTCAGATCGTTGGACCAAACTCCGAAACAGCCCAAAGAATCCACATCCGACGAGCTGCTGAACACCAGGGCAAGCACGTACATGAGCGTCACTCGTGCACTGCGCGAACCCATGCCGTGGTACTCCTGCCACTTAGGTTATGCGCAGGCCTGCCTGTGCACCAATACAGACACAGATGTATACATCTGGATGTGTGTGTGTGTGTTTGTACATATGAGATAGATTTAGGCATATGGATAAGTAAGAATAAACCTAGAGATGGATGCTGCGAATAGGATTGACATTGAGAAAGACACGCATGACACACACACACACACATTGGCAGATGCATACATACATGCACGTACATGCACGGATGCACACATACACGCTCATGCATGTGTGAGAGAGAGAGAGAGTTAGTTAGCTAGCTAGCTAGCTAGTTAGTAGTTATTTGACTTAGCCAACCGGCGGGTCTTGTCATCTGCCAGCCTGATCCTCGGGCTCCGCACGCTGCAGAGCGGTCAAATCCTGCGCAGCACTTCGGGCTGAGGCTTTCGGGATCTTTCGGGCTTTCGCCGCAGAACTCAGCAAGGTGTCAAGCCAAGCCGGAGGTCCCAGGAATCTTTCGTTATGCTTCAGTCTCCAGTCCTACGAGTAGGTCATGAGTCATAATTAAGCCTCCAACCCAGCAGACTCGGAGGCCACAGCTCTGGTCATGCAAACCGGCATTTGAAGCGCCGTCCTCGTAGAAGCACCTGGTGTTTCACGGCAGAGATTTTAAGAAATGCTTCGAGGCTAGTCCTCGTGACTTCGGGGGGGATGTCTGCGCACTTGCGAAAGCAGGGACATCCCTGGCTCGGAACAACTACCGCGACGACTGCAGCTCCAAGGCACCGGTAAAACATAAACTTGATGAGCACGAACAGGCGTGTCAAGGCCAACGTGTGCACACTGATCTGCCTCGGTGGGCTGGCTCAGAAAGAGGCTTTGAACTGCAAGTCAACGCCAGGTCCCCGACAGGCCCACGTAGTTCATGTAAAAATGTGTGCAGGTAGGGAAAGTCTGTGCCAGGATGCTCGGGATCTCCTTGGATTTCTTAAGGGGATGCGGGAATGCCTGAACAAGATTGCACAAGCAGCTGCAGCAATCGATAGCACAAGGCATCTGAAGAACACAGCTTATATGTACGCCCTCTTGGCAAACTGCCACTATGAACTGCACCGAGTCTCTATCGGGTTCTTCACCAGGTAGTCCAATGTGCTTGACAGAGCAGTTCCTACAGAAGTGACGAAGAGCACGAGCAGGAGAAGGAACATGTAGTACCACTGCTGAATCCGAAACCTTGGGCGGCATCACATTCAGATCTCAAGACTGGGAAGTAAGCCTAGACTCTAGGTAGAGGTAGATTCTGCACACTGCCTACGATATTGCCCCAACTATCGAGTAGACAAGCTGCTGCAGCCAACCACGGGCCTGGACACAGTTTACGGCTTTTCAATCCACGGAGTTTGAGCCTCCAGCTTCACCCACAGGCCACAGGCAGGGGAAAGCCTGAAAATCCTGCAAATCCGCCTAACTCCTCCCAAAAACCCACACTCCAGGCCTTCAGGATGAAGAAAGAGCCCAGGATCAACGCGAGGACAGCGGGAAGGAAGCTCATGACCAGATTCCTTGCAGAACAGGCGATGCCCCGTGGCTCCGTGGACCTGCAATAGCCCCGAAAGCCTAACAAATCCTGCATGGTTAAGACAAGTCAAGGCTCAGAGAGAAAGGTCCGAGAAGCCCATTCCAGAAGATCGGAACTGCCTTGATTCTCAGTTCGACACGTGGAACGCTCCACACATTCGTCTGCAGCTTTCGCTTCAGGATGAGCTGCTGCGGCCCGGAGACAATTTGTCTTCCCACTAAGCTTCCGAAGTCGTCTGAGCAACCCTTGTTTGGTTCTGCCGCTCAGTGTACTCCCGCCTGCTTGGAGCAGGCCTCAAGCCTGAGCAGCTGAAACCTCCGAGATCATGAGGAGCCAGGACACAGGATTGTTCTGTACGAAGGCAGCAAAGTTCGGATCTTGCGCCCTGGTCACACGAAACCAATCTGCTCAGTCTGTTGCTGCGGGCATCACGACTTGGCCAAGTTTGAAAACGGGATGAGAAGTGTGGTTGCAGCAAAGAGTCTCCAAACTCTTTTCTGAGCTCAGCCCAGCAATGACTGCTACCTTGGAATTCATTGTGCGGACTGTATGCTCATGACAAGACCAAGACAAACATTTGTAGCAGTGAACACTAACAAGATGAAGAAAGCGCGAATCTTGGCTCCCGGCCAGCGGGATCATGACGAGGAAAGCCAGCAGCAACAGGAAAACTCCAAGTGTGTCTCCCAGCCATTGCCTCGCGTCTTGACAACAGCTGTTAATAGGTGAATTGCGCAACAGTGACAAACACGCTCAAGAGGCAACCCTTCTTGCAAATTTGGGGTCTTAAGGGAGGCAGTCTCATGCCAAGTGACAGGCGTGCAGAGGCCAGCAGATCCGTCCAAATGACATCGTCAGGATCCGGAGGAAGCTCGGCCTCAACGCGACAGGTTTTAGAAGAACGACGCAGAGAAGCCAAGGGACAAGGTCTCAAGTTCATCTGCACACGAGGTCTTTCAGTGCAGAGGCTCCAAGAGGTCTTCACCTCCACGCCCATCTGCAAAGAGCTTGAGGACGATTATTGCATCGTGCCGGAGTTCAAAGGTCACGAACCTCGCTGCCAGCAGAGCGATGCATGCTGGTCAGAGAGAAATGCGGATGGCACGGATGAGCTTATGAGCTTCGCATCATAGAGTCGCATAAGGGTTTCTGTCTATGGTCCCATGGAGTCTTGGAGAGACTGTACCTACAATTGCTTGATGTTGCAGTCCAGCCGCGCGGTATCCTGGTTGTACTCGTCACTTCTCTCGATGATGGCCTGCTGTTTCAACAACTGGGCATCGACCTGGACATGAACGCCGTCAGGAAGGTGAGTAAGGCTGCTGCTGCACCGCCAGAAATTGATGCCATCCTTGCCTTCTTCACTTCGGCGTTCAAGATAGCTTGTCGTCTCTCATGCTCGGAAGCCTCTCGGGACAAGAGTCCGACTTGACCAGATCATCAACACGTGATGCCAAGCACCATCGTCGCCTGCACCATCCTCTGGTGATCCTCCCGCATTCAAAGGTGCGTGAAGTGGAACGTCCAAGTCATGTTAGGCTCGGTAGTGATACGCTTCATCAGTAGTCCCCTACCGTGATTAGATTTGTCCTGGAGGAGACGGTGTCGCTGTTTCAGGAAGGGCTCCAGCTCGGAGGTGTCCTTCAAGAAATAGAGCGACCTCACAACTTGGCCTCAGATGACGTCAAATCACCCTCGCGGCACGCACGTCCTGTGACTTCTCTCCGAGCGACGGGAGCCCTCAGCTCCGAAGATCTGCTTTTCCAGGTACTCTTTCAGGGAAGCCTCCTTGCAACAGAAGGGCTCGGAGTGTCACGACAGAGGCAGAGATGCAAGGCGGTCTCCGGCCTGGCGGAGCTCGGGGGGGATGTTGTGAAGCAGCACAGAGTTCGCGCGAGGCTCCGGCATGGTCCTGCGGTGCGAACGGCAGGGCGTTCTTTTGGGGCGACAGCGGGAACCCTGAACTCGGGATTAGGGATTGAGGCATTGAGGCTTGCAAAGACATGCAAAGGCCTTCAGGCTCGGCCATGACATGATAGGCAGGACAGGGAGCTGAGGGGTGAAAAGCCAGAGGGTTTGGGGCTTCCGACGGCGACGCAAAAAAAGGCGAGTTTCCAACCCACCTCAGCCACTGGAAGCGCTTCTGAACGAAGCCTCGCTGGGCTCGCAGCAGGAAAGCCTGCAAGGACACCGATACTTCAGCGCTTCTTGGCCCTCACACATTGTCAGGAAGCGAGGACCGCTCTGAGGCCCTGCCTGGGTGACGATGACGGTGTACCAAACGAAAAAAGGATGCACCCAGGTCAGAGTACTGCCCTTCACCACGTTTGCGAAGCCCACGCGGGAAAGGTTGTCAGATCCAGCAGCATTCCCACCAGCGAAGAAATGAAGCGGGCAAAGTATCAGAATGGAGGGGATTCCAGTGGACCTGAGTCTTCACTACTCCAACGGTAAGGCACGGATGATCGCGACTCGACTTAGACCTAGTCTTATCGCAGCACCTTCATGGAGCGATCGCGCTTTCGTCGATAATCGGCTGAGCTTCGCACAGCAAGCACATAGTTGCTGCATCGCAGAACTGAACGAACATTCCATGATCTAGATTGGCGTGGTTTGCAACCTCCTCCACAGGAAGCCTGCGACAGTCTGCTAAGAAGCTGCGGGCTTCAGGCCTAGAAACCGACGTATAGAAATTCTTGAACAGATCGTACGCCATGTCACCTTCTTAGCATCTGCAAAGACATCATCTCACAGCACATTGTCATGCACAAGAATTCACATTCCAGCATATTCAAGAGGGGTACGCTGACGGCTGACGGTGGGCCTCCAGGACTCGACTACCCAGCTGCAGAAGCCTGTGACGTCCGGCGGTTGCATCCCATGGCTACCCGGCGTTTCCGCCTCAAGGCGAGAGACTTGTAGGCACAGATGGGCTTGGGGCTCCAGGGATTAGGATTAGGGCCCATTGGGGATTCGGTGCTTGAGGGCTTAGTGTCTCCAGGTTCTGATGGCCAGGACAGCCGTTCGAGCAATCTTCACCCAAATCCAGCACCTTCTGTGCATAGACCAGCGCGTAGCGCTGCCGACAGCAAGTGAAGAAGCAACAGAAGAGCAGAGACACGCCAACGCTCACGCCCAGCCTTGGCTGAACTGCAGCAGACAACACTGGGCTCCCGCAAGCCAGAGCTGACTCGACAAACGCTGCTGTTGAATGCTTTTTATGGATCTACTGCAGCCCCGGGGCGCTGCCAGAAAGGCTTTGAGGTCTCCCTCGGAGTTGCCGACCGGCGACCTCAGAATTCAGCGTTTATGGGTCCTTCACATGGCAGGGCAAGCTATGAGAAGGGAGGAAGTCCCAGGTGGCATTGAGCTGCTGGGGCTGTTAAAGGTTGAGTTTGCACCTCGATGCTGGCAAAGCCTGAGACTTCCGTATAATTAACCAGCGCAGCAGGCGCAACAGACGTGACGAAACGACCGGCTGCGAAGTGTGCAGTACCGTCTTCCCTCGTCCATGCGTCTGGCGAAGGTTAGAGGCGTCTGTTGCTCGCACGACACATCCACTGTTCTGCAAGCCAAGCTTCACCAATGTCGATGAACCTTTTTGGGAAAATCTTGCCAGTACGGGGGAAGTGGGTGGCTCAACGAAGCTCATCAAGACCGATTTTGGCATTTGGCAGCTAGCAGCTTGAAAGGTCAACAGAGCCATAGCACATAGATGGCGAGCCTACGATTTCTACACTCCCTTCCTGCCCTTGCCAGACGCATGCAACGTGCCTCCGAAATACTACCTGGACATTCGTGAAGCGCCTCCGTACGTTACAGGCACAGGTCCAAAATGCCCGCCAATGTCCGCCTAATTATCGTGTTGCGCATGGTCTGCAAACAGGACGCTGGTTGTTGTCGTTGTAGTGTTCGCCGAGGCCCACAGCGATGAATCCTGCAGATGTGCCTGCCACAGAGCGGAGATACCAGCGACATGCCTTGTGATTCTGCTCTCAGGAATCTGGGCAAGGAGGACCTTGTTGAGACTTCAGATAACTCCAGCGCTGAATGCGCACAAACGTTCAAATCGAATGTTTTTGGACAGCTCCCATCATGACTCAGGGAGTCGTACTGCAGCCTTGGTATTGTATCGACATAGAGGTGAAGCCTACAACTCCGCCTTTCACCGTCACTGTCGTGAATAAACAAATATACACAGTGTATATATTGAACATACATACATGCATACATACGTACATTTCTGCCTACCTACATACATGCATATATTATACTATACAAACACAACTTACATACATACAGACAGACACACCAGACGGACGGACGGAGAGAGGGACATGCAAACAGACAGACGGCCAGGCGGGTAGACAGATACACACAGGTAGACACATACACACTTAGACATCCATCGCGCAGCCACTAATCAATTTGGTTATCAAGCACAGCTTGATGTATCTCGAAAGCATGAAGCTTCCAGGGGGTCCGGTACCAATCTGGCCTCAAGGCTCATCTTCGCTTGATCTCAGACTTATTCACTGTACAAGGCAAACTCCTCCAAACCTGCACATTCGATTTCCATTGGGGTTCTAGGCTTAGCCCCAAGCCATATCACTTGCAGAGACACTTGCAGACACACTTGCAGGTACACCAAGCTGATCAGGCTTGGCTTCCCTCTCTGATGCATAGCTTCGTTGGGTACGGTAGCATCAGAGAGCCGTACCCCCCTGCTATTTTCAGCAATTCAGCACTACTGTCCAACGTGTTTCAAAAACGGTTCCTCTTGGTAACAGAGGTCCACACACACAGTAAGCCACTAAGGCGAAGCAACCTAGGGTCTGGACTCCAAACGAGGACGGTTTTCGTCCGAATATGGCTCAGCCCAGTGAAAGGTCAATGGTACTGTATTGTTGACAGTACTGAGTTTGACAAAGTACGGTAAATGAGCCCCGCTTTGCGTAAGTTTAAACGTACGCTTGGGGATGCGATTCCACTCCAAACTGATCATCTCTTTAAGGTCGTCGATAATGCCTTCGGCCGGAATGTCGAAACATGCAACCGTGGCACCATGATGGCGGCCACCAGAAGGCAGATTTTCAATCCAGAATCCTCGGGTCATCCGCAGCGGAGGCAGATGTTTCGGTGTCCGAGGGAGAATAAGTGGATCATCATCTTTTTCGCCATCAGGTGGAAGCGACGCTTGTGCAGCATCTCGTTTCATGGCAGAAAAAGCTACACGTACACTGGGTCGCTGTTGCGTGGGAGCAGGAAAACTGTACAGGCGAGTGCTCTCACTGTATGCAGGACAGAAAAATGTGAGTCAGGTCACAAGGTCATGCCAAGAATCTCTGGTAGTTTTTCCAGCAAGTGACATGTAATCCTGTACACGTCCGGTGTCCAAATCAAAATAAGAATCAAACGTTTCGGTTGGGACACTGTGCAACATACCAAAAATGGCAAGCACAACGGAGGTTAGCTCTGACCAGCATTTTTGCACAAGCCTTTGACCGTGCTGCAGGATTTCGGTGAAACTGCATCGGATCCCCAAGCGTGATATCACTCTCTTCAGAGGGAACAGGCGAACGCTCACGTTTGTCCTTCTTAGACTTCATGGACTTCGGAGACTTATTTGGTGACCGGTCCTTTTTCAGCCTTTTGGACTTCTTGGACTTCTTGGTCTTCTTGCACTTGTTGGAGGACTTCTTAACCCAAGACGCCACCTCTGTGGGTGCCGAGTCTTTGGGAGGATCGAAAGCCGAAGACCAGGAGCTAGCAGCTAGCATCATCAGGAAGTTCATCATATGGTACCCCGTTGTCTTGACGGGAAGCCATGCCGGTGTGTCGAGAAATCAAGACGGAAACGGCTGGCGGCACCACATGAGTAAAAAAGGAAAAAACGCCTTCGGCTTCACGAGAGACAAAGAGAGAGAGGGGAGAAAGAAAGGGCGAAAGAGACATAAAACCGAGCGTAACGCTCCTACACGCTGTTTTGCAATGCGCAAAGACGGTTCCACTTCAGTGGTGCAGGCGCTCTAATCCAGTAATGATGAAAGTCCCAAAAATGTCAATTGGGAAAACGAATTAAGCAGACAAGTCGTCTGCTGTTCCAGCATGACAAAAGCTCTCACGGTGATGCATCTCGCTTGCGTTTTCGGGGTGACAAAGAATAAGCGCTCTCAGTAGGGAGGTTCAAGTCCACCGAAGAAGTGGTCTGAGAAGCTTGGTGCCACTGATTGTCAGCAGCCAAACGATCCGAAATCCAGCGAGAGGTGGCGGGGAACCAAGATTTCCACCACGTTTCATTGCCATTGGGTCCTTGATTTTTCACCCAATAAAATCGCCACGAAACAGTCGGAGAACGCGATCGGGATCGATCCGACATGGCGTGTACCGCTGAAAGCCGAACGCTGGAACTGAACAACGCAATTTAAAGAACCTAAGCGGACACATTGCATGCAAGACTCTTCTGCATATACATTCTGTATTGCAACAGTCTTTTTTCATGCATGAAAGACTCCATGTATCTTAAGCCTCTCTCTGTACATCGGAGACCGGTAAAGCTTCGGTGCTTCGTACAGAGTACTCCAAGCCAGGCCAGCTGACTCCCCAATCCTGTCCTTCCCCCGTTTCAAAAGTAATCGGCCGGGGATTGTTGGGGGTGGACATCGGCAACGTAACGGAATGGGTGCTTGACAAAATCCAAATTTTGTCAATGCGTCCTGCGGCTTCACGCACCGCCCAGCGCTTATCTCCTGAAGGGGAGTGTACAAGCGGGTGGAACTTGCACAAATGTCCTTCATGTACAGTGCTGGAGGACTTGGATTTGTGATGCGCAGATCCAAGATATCCTCCCACGACCACTCCTGCGGAATTCTTCGTGGAGTGGTGCAGTTTTGACACGAAGTCTAACTTGCTCTCTTCATAGTACACGTGTTGTGTGGCTTTGCCATAAAAGGAGCACACATGATCGTGCGGCGCCACATGTACAGCTTCGGCGCTAGAGCGAATGACCCTGCCCAACGTGAGGATGCCGACCAGGCCTTCGGCCGTGGTCCCGTGTCCCCAAAGATAATAGCAGTTGGTCTGCTCTTCAGGTCCTGGCATATGTGCCACTGGAAACTCCCAAACATGCAATGCTTCTTGGGGCATGGCATACGCCATACGCCTTGGCATCATGCTGAAAAATTGCCTTATATGGTATCTTGCTGGCCAAAATGGACCGGGCAAGAGTGACAATCTCCCGTTGGCCAATAGGAATCACAGGCAGAAAAGGTCGGTCTGCCTGGCCAAATCGGGTCAACAAAAATTTCAGCACATCCTCAACATCCTCTTTGAGGATTTTTGAGACTGGCAATGAACGTTGCCGAGTAAAAGTGATGCGATCAGTGAATCGTCGCATATGAGAATGTGGGATAATAGGCCACGTATGCAAGCCTTCGGTTGTGAGAAAGTTCTCATGATAATGCAAAACAAAGAACATATACGCCAAGAGAGAACTCATTCCCTCCTCATAGAAATCGACAGCATTGCGGCCTTTGGCTCGAGCTGTGATTTGCTCTCGCAGTTGTTCATAGCTGCTGCGATGAGCAGCATGAAATAGCTGTTCCTCATCAACAGAAATCAAACCGGATTGAGCAGGAGGAACTGGGCTCTTTGGAGCCGAATTCTTGGGAGGTGTCTTGGGCGCCGTGTTCTTGTGAAACTCCGGTGAGGGAGCTG